TGTGCAAAATATATAAGATATCCAATGGAAAGAGTAAGTTTCACACTCCGATGATCTCCCACCAGGTTACTGAAGCCTGAAGTTCTACCTATTAGTAATAATTAATTCCTTTCATTTCAGGAATTTTTGCTAGTTTGGATGAAAATATCCCTAGTAGAGATCATAATTCTTCCTCAATAATAGTTCCAGCTATAACACTTACTAACAGTGTACCCTGGGCAAGTTAACTTTGTCTCCTTGGGCCTCATTTTCCTCCTGTCTAAAATGATTGGAAAAGAGTAGATGAGCTCTACAGTGTGTGTTAGTTAAAAATCCTAAATACAGTGAAGTAATCTAATTTCTGGGAGCCTCAGTTCCTTTTCCTGTAAAATGAACTCCCTATATCATTGTAGTGTTGTAAAAAAAGTGTTGTATAGATGTAAGTCATTATGACCGAATTACAGATTTGGAAGGGACCTCACTGGCCATCTAGTGCAACTCGTATCTGAAGAACAATTCATTTCCTAACACCCCCAACAAATAGTCTTCCAGCCTTTGCCTGAAGACTTCTAGGGCCTCTGAATGGCTCATTGTAAATCTTCATTAGCACCACTTTCAGATAGCTCCAGTTGTTAGGAGGTTTTGCCTTTCATCAAGCTAAATCTGACTTCTCAGTGTTTACCAAAGTGCCTGCCACATGGTAAGCACTTAATAGTAAGCATAGTAGTCACTTAATAAATGCTTATTGGCCTATCGACTGACTATGCAAACTTCTGCCTGTGCTCCTGCCTCTGCCTTTTGGGACCAAGTAGGAAAATACTAATCCCTCTTCTGCATGATGGCCTTTTAATACTTGATATATGCTATGGCCTCCCCTCCAAAAACCTTTTCTTCTCCAGTTCCTTCCACTGCTACTATTATTGAAATAGCTCTTCGCTATCCTGGTCACCGTCCTCTGGATGCTCTCTGGCTTGTCAGTGACCTTCCCAAAACGTAGCACCTATGACTTATAATACAATAGTCAATAGACAATAAATAGTACAAGAGGACCCAGGCTTCCTATGTTTTGGAAGTTTTGACTCTTTTAATGCAAACATCAGCCTTTTTGGCCACCATGTTACCTTGGCAATTTATATTGAATTGTGAGTCCACTAAAATCTCCAGCTCTTTTTGAAGGAACTGTCATCTCACCATGCCTCCCCACCCCTATCTTGCCTTTCTGAAGCTGATTTTTTTTAAAGTCAACCATAAGACTTCATAATTATCTCTGAAATTCCTTCTTAGATTCAGTCCAAAACTCTAGACTGTTGAGATTATTTTGGAATCTGGCTCTGTCATCCATCATATTGACTACCTTTTCCAGTTTTACGTCATCTGCATAGCATTCCATCTATGTCTTCATCTAAGTCATTGATAAAAAATGTAATGAGCACAGGATCAAACACAAATTCCTGGGACACTCCATTAGAGCCATCTCTGGCTAGAGGCCTTCTTCTTAAGGGACATTAGATTTCAGCCAAGGTGATTTCAAGTTATTCATGACTACTCTGTAGATCTAGTCATTCATTAAGTTCCAAAGCTGCCTAACTCTATCCAACTTGCTCATATGGATTCCATGAGACACTTAGGACTAGAAGGTCATATATGCAGAGCTAGAATGGACCTTGGAAGCCATTTGGTCCGACACCCTCATTTTTACAGATGAGAAAAACGAAACTCACAGGTGTTAAGTGACTTACCCAACAACACGTATGCAGTAAATGTCAGAGGGGGTATTTGAAGTCGGCTCCTCTATTTCCAGAGTCAATATATTTTGCCCTGTGCTATCTTCCATGATGATTTGTCAAATTTTTCTGAAATCTAGATATACAGTCAGCCTTCTTTTAGCCTGCCAGTCTAGAAACCCTGCCCTAAAAGGAAATGTATGTCTAGTATAGCATGAGGCTCACAAACCATACCCTTGTTTTGGGAACACAATAACTCCAGAAATCCTACAGGCATCCAAATTATGTTGTTGTTTAGTTGTTGCTGTTGTTGTTGTTGAGTGATTTCAGTCATGTCTGATCCTTCGTGATCCCATTTGGAGCTTTCTTGGCAAAGACACTAGAGTAGTTTGCCATTTCCTGATTCATCTAATTTTTGGTTGTTGTTGAATAGTTTCAGTCATGCCCCACTCTTCATGACCACATTTGGAGTTTTCTTGGCAAAGATACTAGAGGGGTTCGCCATTTCCTTCTCCAGTTCATTTTATAGATGAGAAAACTAAGGCAAACAGGGTTGGGTGACTCTCCCAGGGTCACACCACTAGTAAGAACTCAGGTCTTCCTGACTCCAGGCCTGGTGCTGTATTGACTGCACCACCAAACTCTAAGCCAAAATGATCAGACACTTTCATCTGGTCCAATGCTCTTTGTCATTTATGAACAGATGACCATATATTGTTCAAAAAGAGGATTATGCTACGAGGGTAACTATCGGGAACATATAAGGCTAAGAGTTGCAATCAGACATAATTTATTATTGTTATTATTTGTATTGTGGTGGAAATGAGTTTATCAGACTGTAGAAATGTTGCATATGCAATCAGACATGACTGATATGATGATTAGCTTTGATGAACTGCTTTTTTTCTCTTTCTTTTTTAAGATTGGTGTTAAGAAGGATGACTCTCTGTTAAAGAGTGAAGAGGGATATATTTCAAAATAAAGTTGATGTCGAAACAAAACTTATGAATGTAATGGCTCCTCTAGAGGGAAGAAAAATGACTTGGACCATCTTAGAGCTCTAGGATTTGGAGTTGTTTTTTTTCCTAATCTCCTGAAGCAAGTAAATATTTTTTTAAAAGTGGGGAGGAGGCACAGAAAAGAGAGAGTTTGTGCTTTCCCTAGCAGCTCTGGGATGAATAGAAGCAATAGCAGCCTCAAGAGAATAGCAAAAAAACAAAAACAAAAAACAAATCCCAGCAGGCTGGATGAATCCAGGCCATTCTTCCACCCGCTATAGGAAGTATTACATCAATAAAAAATAAATTTTAAAAAATTGTTTCAAGAAATAATGTTTCAAAGATCTAATGGAAGGCAAAGAAGTTGCCTCAGGGTACAGAAATGCCAGACCAAAGGCATCAAAGATGAACCTTACAAACCCAGCCAGCTATCCAAAGATGACAATGAAGATATTTCTTTAAACCAGCTGCTCATCAAAACAGAGGAAGCATGTAAATGTGCCATGCCAAGGCTCACAATGTTAAGTACTCCTCTGAAAAGCCAACACTGGTCCTGAGTTGCTGATCAGCTCTACTTAGGAATTCATTGCTTATCCCAAAGAGAAACAGGATAGGGTTGGGAAGGGCCTAAGGGCCCTTGAGGGCCTTTGAGAAAAGTACCTTTGGACATAAAACACCTTTGTCCAGTCACAAATAAAGACGGCCTAAGGTAAAACTGAGGTTTAGGAAGCCCATCATTGATGCCTAAAGCGTCCCCTTTCTGCTTCTTCCTTAATTCATTCCTTAATCCCTGCCTCCTAGTTCAGCAGCATACCCTTGCCTCTATTGAGGTGCTTAGGATCCTCCCATTTTCTAGTGGGTTTTTCCTAATGAAGTACTTAAGTATCTGGTGTCATTATTTACATTTTAAAATTCCTCTTGCATTGTATTAACCCTCCTAGCTTAGTGGCAATTTCAATAATCTCTAATTGTGGAATGAAAATAATAGCTGTCATTGGAATGACTTTGTCTCCCTTTAAAGGAAATTTTAAGCCAAAAATTAACAAGTAAGAAAGACTCATAAGATTTAGAGCTAAAATCTCACCTAATTCACCATCTCACTTTACAAAAGGACACCGGTACCCAGAGAAATAAAATTACTTCCCCAAGGTCACACAGATTATAAGAAGTAGAGCCAGAATTTGAAACTAGGTCCTCTGATTACAAAGTCTTATTAGGCCTGTTCACCATGCAGCACCATAGTGATTTTGAATATCATTATGATTATCAGATTCACATTGTAAACTTAATTTTATCATAACAGTCACCTCCATATGTGTGTACTGCATCTCCACAGTTGGATGCTGCAGTACCATGATCCTCTGATCATACATCATGATGATTTGCTCATAATTTAAAATGTTGTCACTTAAGTCATTTTTCAGTTGTGTCCAATTCTTCAAGACCCCATTTGGGGTTTTCTTGGCAAAGATACTGGAGTGTTTTGCCATTTCCTTAGCCTACTCATTTTACAGATGAGAAACTGAGGCAAACAGGGTTAAGAGACTTGCCAGGGTCACAAAGTTGGTAAATGTTTGAGGCCAGATTCAAAATGATAGGGTCTCTCCCTGCTTGGGGTTTATAATCTAGAGAAAAATATCAGAGGGAAGACAAACTTAAAGAGCAGTGTTTAGTACAAAAGTAAAAGGAAGTGTTTCACTATCTTGAAGGGGAAGAGAGAATTTACTGGTTACAGAGTTTGCTACCTCACCTCTCTGGGCCTCAGTTTCTTCATCTGTAAAATGAGAGCTGACTTGATCTCTAAGATCCCTTCCAAATCTAAATCTATGATTTCATGACTTAGGGAGGGAAGAGTCCTTAGTCTTTAGATGGAAGCTCAGGGAAGGTGAGTAATTTCATGCCCAGGGTCCAGATTCAGTACTTTTCCCACAATGCCACCCTTCATCTTTCTTCTGGGTGGAAGAAGAAAGGCCACAGACTAAAATAACTGCTAAAAGACTTGGACCCAAAGACCCAAGATACCATGAATCTGGACACTGAGGAGCATCCAGAGGAGGGCAACCAAGATAATGAAAGACCCTGAGCATGTCACATGAGGACTGGTCGAAGGAATTAGGGATATTAATCTTGGAGAAGAGAAAATGGGGAACACATGATGACTCATTAAATATTTGAAGGGCTGTCATGTGGAAGAAGGAATGGACTTGTTCTTCTTGGCCTCCGAAGGCAGAATCAGGAACAGGGGTAAGAAGTTGCAATGAGATAAATGTGGTCTTGATATAAAAGAAGAAATACCTACCAATTAGAGAATTGTCCAAAGGTGGAAGGCACTGCGCCCACAGGGAGCAGGTTCCCTCTCACTTTAGGTCTTCAAGTCAAGGTTGGATAGTCCTTGCTGGGTAGATTGGAAAGCAGATTTTTGCTCAGGTGTAGATTGGACTAGGAAGTCTCTGAGGTCCCTTTTTGCTCTGAGGTCCTGTGATTCCATGAATTTGGAGTGATCAGCCTGCAGTGCTGAAGGGTAGCATCCAAATATAACAAGTTAAAGAAAGAGAAGTTAAGTAATATCACTGCCAGGGCTGTCTGAAGAGACCTGAAACTTGGGCATATGAGCAAGTGCTGTGGCTAGCTGGCTGGTCATTTGACTCTTCCATCCCCATTGCATCTATTCTTCTGCTGCATAGACTAATTGATGAGCTTTTATGCTGTCTCCTCCCCTTTAAAACTATCCATGATGTTTTTTTTTTTTTTACCAGATTTTACCAGCATAAAATGTGGTAGGCAAAGGGACCACCACTGAATGTTTTGTCATCTCCCATAAGGATGGCACTGAACCAACTAGATCAAGAGCTGGGACTAGGCATAGGCAAGATAGGAAGCCATAGAGTCCAGCATACACAAGAGTAGTCACAATGAGTGATACTTTCTTTTTTTGATTCACTCTACTGTATGTGTGTGTATGTGTGTATATTTTTTTCAGTTCCAAATTTGCTCCTTCCCACCCTTCCCCCACCCATTGAGAAGGCAAGAAATATGATAACCCATTATACATTTGATGTCATGTAGAATATATTTCCACATTAGCCATGTTGCAAAAGAATTTTTAAAAGCAAGAAAATGAAAGAAAATATGTTTCAATCTGCATTCAGAGTCCATCAGTTCTCTCTCTCTCTCTGGAGTTGGATAGCATTTTTTATTATGAGTCCTTTGGAACTGTCATGGATCATCGCATTGATCAAAATAGCTAAGTCTTTTACAGTTGATTGTCATTACAATATTGCTGTTACTATGTACAATGTTCAATGAGTGATACTGTCTAACAGTTCTCTTTTAAATGCTTTCTTAATGTTAGAAAAGTCTCTTCTTCACAAAATGTAGATATTTATTTTGCAACGATTCAAGTCGCATGTATTACAACGAAGGGACCCTATGGACAGTCATTCAATGATTCAGTAGCAGCAACAAATTTCTCAGATGGACTACAAAGTGCTACAGCTCCGTGCAAGCTGTGAGCATTGCAAAGATGAAAAACAACACAACTTCTGCCCTTTAAGGAGTTTATAATTCTATGTTGGGGTGAGATTACCGAAGCAGATTATTTTGGAGAATCATCATAGGATGGGACTGCCATAGCAAGCTCCATGACTAATAGACATTCCTGGGGGAAGTAAGGTCTCATGAAATGATGGAAGAGTGGGAAGGTAGGTGGTTCCACAGACACTGCTTTAAAATAGGTCTAGCTCATGCTGCATCATCAGTGCTGGTCAGAGGAACCATCCCTGTTTAACTGAGAAAAAAACTCTTGGGACTGCAATAGCAGAGTTTCAGCTCTGCCACTAAGATCTTTGGCAAGTAACTTTATTCCCCTAAGTTTCATTTTCCTAATCTATGTGTAACATAGACTGGTATATTCACAGAGTGGCTCTGTTTCTCCATATCAAAAAGGCTGGAGATCTTATTCCTAGAAGAATTGTTAGGACATGTCATGGAAATGCATTAGACTTTGGAGCCTGCCTACTTATTCTGTAATTGTTCCTTCTTCTCTCTGAGGTTGATATGTGGCCATGGTTCTTTTGCTTTGCTATTTGTTCTTTTCAGTTTTAGGTATATGAGGTCAGTCTGGAAGTTTTAGCCTAGGAATTTTTACATCTCAGGAAAAATAGACTCTAGGAGACTAATTCTATGCCATGTTTTGGAGCCTACCCAGCACTGATGGCCAAAAAGCAAGTGACCTTAAGGACCCAACCCAAAGCTAGCTGATCCTTAGATTTAGTCAGCAGCAATGCCATGTTTGCATATAAGCTGAACAGGTTCAGTGCTATGTAGAAACTGTGTTAAATCTGAGGCCCCTATCTTCATAGACTGAATCAGTAATAGGAGAGAGTAGGATGAATTGGAGAGAGTGACATCCACAAAGCATTGGGAGGGGGGATGTTTTTATTTTTCTTACTGTTTTAATTTCAAGTTAAATGGTTGAATGGAACTGAGGCACTATCTTTCAATAGTACCTATCAATGAGGAAATACAGAAGATATTAGATATGACATTAGATATACCCCTTAATCCTTAGGGCACCTCTACAACCAAGGAGGAGGAGACATTAAGGCCGTACTCTGGGAGAGTAAGGCCACAACATGCTTGCTACATGTGAAGGGTAGCTAATAATATTTTTACTCCCTAATTCAATGGGTTGTTGTGAGAAAAACATTTTAGAAATTTCCAAGTGATATCTAAATGTGAACTAATACTTTTTATTATTCCTCCATGAAGCCTATCCAGATTTACACAGCTGAGAGCAATCTCTATCTTCACATTTTCCTGGAACACTTGGTTGGGAGTCTCTCTAGCTCTTTTACTGGATAATTCCTAGACCTGGGATCATATGAGACTAAGTCTAGGCAGAGTCAAGGGTTTATGAAAGCTGCAGTCTGGCAACCACTTTGCAGATATGTTATTGGTTTTTTGATACATTGGCACTAGTTATTGAGTACTGTTATTTTGCTAATAAATGCTTTGTATGTAAAAATACCTGTATGCAGAATTCAAGCATGTTTGTTTGCTTCTCTGTAGAGCTTGTTCCTTTATGCCAAGGTCATTTCACCACTGAAACAAAGTCCCTTAAAAAAAAAAAAAGAGGGGCAGCTAGGTGGCGCAGTGGAAAGAGCACTGGCCCTCAAGTCAGGAGGACCTGAGTTCAAATCCGGCCTCAGACCAAACACTTAACACTTACTAGGTGTGTGACCCTGGGCAAGTCACTTAACCCCAATTGCTTAAAAAAAAAAAAGGAGGAAGGCTTCAAGAGTGGGTGCTAAGTGCTAAGTTCTAATTGGATAGAGCTATAAATCTATCCACCCCTTGGCGATAAATTGGTGTTGCCCAAAGAAAGTAGGAAGAGATAAAATACAACTCCTGACTTTGACTCTGCTCTCTGACTGCTTCATGATGAAGCTGACCACAACTAGTTCATTTGCTTTCATTTGTTCATCACAGCATGTTCATCTCCACTGGAGCATTCAAGAGCAAGTGAAGAAGGGAAAGAAATTTCTCTAGCCACCGTTCTTACCTTTCCACCATTTACCACCATTTCCTGGATCTTTGGACTGGCCCAAAACTTCCATCATTACATATACACACACCCCACAACTCCTCTCAACTATGCCAACACCCAATTCCACTGCTCTTTGTCTCTTTCTGTGTGTCAGAAACCAAAATTCTATAGGGATGACGAAATTTCAGAAGCTTCATGTTTGAGACCAAACGAAGATGCAGGGTTCATTAATCTCTCTCCTACTCCATCAGTGGAAAAGAATAATAAAGGAGTTACAATAGCAATAATAACTCATATTTTATAGCATATTATCATTTACACAATGCTTTTCTCACAGCAACCTTGAGAAGAAGGTAGTACAAATATTATTGCCCGTATTACAGATGATTAAACTGAGACTCAGGTTAACTGATTTGCCAATAGTTATCAGTCCAAATCTTCCAACTAAATTGGTGTTCTTTCCACTCTTCTATTCTTCCCCTTAGCCAGGAAGTGACTCACCAAAGAGAGTTCAAGAGTGGAAGGAAGTGATCAATCTGGGGAATTTTTGTTTAAAGGAAAGCAGAATGAAAGCACCTGGATGCAACATCCAGCAAAGTTAGATTCAAGAGATTTCAAGTTGAAAGGCAGAGAGCTGTATCAAGAAAGGAGGTGTGGAAGGGAGGAAAGAGGAGCATAGGTAAGTGCCTACAGCTGTTATATATATCTGCAAATTCCCCTGCTATTTAAAGAGGATCAATATGTTCTCTTGATACTGGTTAGGAAGAACTATCATTGGTGTGACAATGGAAGATCTGGCCCCCATATGTTTGGACAGAATGTGTAAAGAAGAGAGTTCTAGAAGCACAGCAAATGAAGATTTGATGGTATCATCATTATAATAGCTATAATTGTAGAGATGAAAAGTATGAGTCAAAGAATGAGAGTAAACAGTATGTAAGTAAATCTTCTCATCCTAGGAAACACTTGTCCATGTCCTTCTGTAAATCCTCTCTTTTGGAATTGCATGGATACCAGTAGAGTTACAAGGACTGTTCATAGATTATCCCTTGCTCTTTCCATATTACTATCATTTCCCACTAAATTTCCAGTCATATATCTCTCTGATAACAAAATGTATGCTGATTCTCTTGCACAATGCTTGATTTATGTGTCATAGCCTACTCATGCTCATCATTTGCCTCTCCACCACTCTTTGGTTGACTCTTAATTTTATGTGTTTTGAGAACGTAGTGTTTCATGACTCACGATACAGAACTAGAAGAACACAATTAATAAAAAGATGAGCCTTTCTTTCAGGGAAAAACTTGAAGTCATTAAAAGCACTGCATAATTTCTCAAATCCTACACTTATTCTCCAGTTCAATTCCGGACTTGAGTTTCTCTTTGTACAATGTCTATCAAGAATATACATACTAATGGACAATTCTATGTGTATCCATACAACAGATAATTGACAGTTGGAATTTTTCATTCATTCGACTTTTTCTGTGTAAATTGTTAGGCTGAAACCTTGAGTGATTATGGATCTCATTTTGGAAACTTTGAAAGGCTCCAAGGCTTGATCCAATCAGCAAAATGCCATTAATGAGGAGTGCTCAGCCAAGGTGATGAAGCAGAAGGAATCAGTACAGCCCAGCTGTTCAATGACTACTCAAACAAAGATCCATGAAGGCTAGACCATGCAGTTATCAGGAAATCTAAGAAGAAACCATAGTGAGTCATTTTTCCAGAACATGATCACAAATTTGACTCACAGACCCCACACAAAACAGAATCATGAATCTTTCTCTCTGATCCAGAGAGAGGATCTCAGACTTATCCAAAGACTTAAAAGAGGCATAGGCCAGCAGTGGGAGCACTATTTCTCAGCCTTCAAAGCAGGTTTGTGAATTTAGCTCCCAGGCTCAGAACCTGCAGAGCCTTCTAACTGACAGACAGGAA